AACAAGATACCGCACAACAGCCTCGTGACATTGAAGCTCGCTGTCCACAGCGGTGTTCGGCCCTGATGCACCATCCCATTCAATCCGTACAAATCAACACAACACCACATAACCACACAACACAGTGGTGAGCGTGAGAACAACACACAACACACAACACACATGCACATTCAGCTGCAGTAATCATGCCTGCTCATGTGCAATAATGCCACGCACACACATACATGCAACATGTCAAACATCAACACGACCACCACAAACAACAACAGCAACGCACGCAGCGCAGCCAACAGCACGCGTGCACACACAGCAGTAACAACACAACCTTAAAACACAACGAAAAACACGTACATCGTTCATCGCCTTGTGCACGTCTGCTCCCTGCTCAACAAGATACCGCACAACAGCCTCGTGACCATTGAAGCTCGCTGTCCACAGCGGTGTTCGGCCCTGATGCACCATCCCATTCAATCCGTACAAATCAACACAGCACCACACAATCACACGTACACAGTGGCAAAGGGTGAGAACAACACAAAGCACACAAGCACTCTCAGCTGCAGTAATCATGCCAGCTTGTATGTGCAGCAATGCGCCACACAAACATACACGCACACACAAGCAGCAGCATCAACACATGCATCACACAACCAGCATGAGTGCACACACAGCAGTAACAACACAACCTTAAAACAAAACAGAAAAAACGTACATCGTTCTTTGCCTGGTGTACGTCTGCTCCCTGCTCAGCAAGATACCGCACAACAGCCTCGTGGCCATTGAAGCTCGCTGTCCACAGCGGCGTTCGGCCCTGATGCACCATTCCATTCAATCCACACAAATCAACAACACAACATGAACCACACGTACACGTGCACAACAAAGTGACAAGGGTGAGAACAACACACAACACAAAACACACATGCACATTCAGCTGCAGCAATTATATCTGCTCATGTGCAATAACACACAACACAAACATACACACACATTCACTTCAAAAAATAACAACACCACCACCACCACAACCAGCAGCATCAACACATGCATCACACAACCAGCATGAGTGCACACACAGCAGTAACAACACAATCTTGCCACAAAACTAAAACGCGTACATCGTTCATCGCCTGGTGCACGTCAGCTCCCTGCTCAACAAGATACCGCACAACAGCCTCGTAGCCTTCCTGACTCACAATATGCAGCGGTATTGCGCCCTGATGCACCATTCCATTCAATCCGCACAAAGCAACAACACACACATGCACATTCAGCTGCAGTAATCATACCTGCTCATGTGCAATAATGCCACACACATGAACCCACACACGTCCACACGCCGCCTCAAAACATCAACACGACCACCACAAACAACAACAGCAACACACGCAGCACAGCCAACAGCATGTGTGCACACACAACAATAACAACACAATCTTGCCACGAAACAGGAAAAGACACCTCATTCGCTGCCCTATTGACGTCTGCTCCCTGCTCAACAAGATACCGCACAACTGCCTCATGTCCGAAAGCACTTGTCCAGTGCAGCCCAGATGCGCCCTGCAGAACCCCATGTCAATGGTCAGCGACAACCCATGAGTCTGTGTTACGCCAAGCTCACTTTTCTCCCAATCGCAACCAAGTTCACTCAAAGCACAGAGCACAGGGATTGGCAAACTCACGAATTTTTCATCCCGCTCCTCGTTGACGTTCGGCTTTGCTCCACCTTTGTCTGGATCACCTTCCAACAGCAGGCGCTTGACCAGGTCCAGGTCCCCCTGTTTACAAGCGTGAATCAGCGCGCTCATGCTTGCGACGACGGAGTGCGTTGTTCGAGCGTGTCTGCGTGTGTCTGTGTGTATGTGTGTGTCTGTGTGTGTGTGTGAGTGTGCGTGTGAGTATGTGTGTGTGATCGCGCTGATGCTGTTCCCTGCTTGTCTGCTGTGCTTTGCTTGCCGTGTCTTCGTAGACTGTGCCTCTGTGGGTTTGATGTGTCCTTCTCAGCGCTTGTTGTCTGCGTGAGCTGCTGTGACTGTGTCCTTCTTCGCGTCCTCAGCTTCTCTGCTGTTGTCCTTCTCTGGCTGTTCGCTTGGCTTGATTTCCGTTGAATGATTTCCACCAAATTTCTCCACCATCGCGACACGAAACAGCATAAAGTGTAGCACTTGGAGCCTGCAACCGTTGCTGCTGTGAGACCGACACGACCACCTGTGGTGCATGCGTGCTCAACCAGCAGTCATTCAGCCAGGCATCCAGCCATCCACGCAGGCAGGCAGTTGACACGAGGTGCAGACATAGTTGCTTCGGGCTTATATTAGGCGGTAGTAGTGTTGGTGGGTTTGAGGATGAGGCTAAGGACAGGACGGGTGCGATCGCTGTTGCTGCTGCTGCTGCTGGGCGTTGTGGCGCTTTTGGCAGTGCAGCTGCACCACGTGTACATCTCGCAACAAGAGCAGCAAGCGGATGGGGACGACGCAATGCTGCTGGGACCAGATGCGCGACGCGAGCCGCAGCCGCAGCAGCGCTGGTCGTTCCTCTGCTTCCTGCTGCCGACAGCAGCATGCATGCATGCTGACAACAGCGGTGCACATGATTTGGGCACAAAGGCGACCTTGAGTCAGCAGGCTCACGAAGAGCAGAACCGTCAGAACCAACAAAGCAACAGTGCTACCACAACCACAACCACAACCACAACCACAACCACAACAACCACAACAACCACAACCACCACCACCACAACAACAACAACAACAACAACAACAACAACAACAACTACAACCACAACTACAACCACAACAACTACAACAACAACAACAACAACAACAACAACAACTACAACTACAACTACAACTACCACGAAAACAACGCCACAGAAGGGAGTGCAGGCATACACGCTGATCGCCGGAGAACAGGAGAGGGCCAACGACCCAGCGCAGTCGGCAGTCGTGCCAAACCGCGCCCACGCGCTGCTGTGGTGCCACGGATACAGCAAGGCAATCCTGCTGCAAGCCAACGTGACAAGCAGCCCTGCTGACCTGGACCCATACCCTCCCCGTGACGTTCAGTGCGTGCACCCGGCCCTCCTCGGCCCATCACACCATGACGGTGATGGCGATGGCGAAGAGCAAGGACGTGAGAATGATGACGATCACCACCGTCAGTTCCGTGTGTCTCGGCGGGGTGTAAGCATGCTGCCACCACACACGACCAACACCGACAAGGATGGTGATGACGGTGGTGTGCTGCCCCGCCTCCTCATTGCCATCATCAGCGGTGGCAGCAATGAGACGCTCGCACGTGCGCAGTTCCGGCCCATGGTGAATCTGCATGCGAACCAGGAGCGCGAGGCCAACAGGGAGGCGTGCTTCGAGACATATGGCAACGACGACCTGCTGTTCATCACCAACGAAGCGGTGCCACGCGGTTCACATCGCGTCCATCTTGACCCCAAGTACGAGGCCGGCGGCAGGGACGGCCTCCCATACAAGGTGCGGTTGTCTGTGTGTGTGTGTGTCTGTGTGTGTCTGTGTGTGTCTGCGTGTCTGTGTGTCTGTGTGTGTGAGTATGTGTGTGCGTGTGTGTGTCTGTGTCTGTGTCTGCGTCTACATGTACGTACAGAGCGCCCTTGCGTCTGCACGCCCTGACCCGTATGACAATTCATCTTCATATCCTTTCACATTCTCTCTTCTCTCTGTTCTCTGTTCTTTATTCTGCCGAGTGCAGGTCCTTGGCACGTGGAAATACCTCTATGACAACCACATCGACGACTACGACTGGTTCATGAAGGTCCGGAGCGCGCGTGCATGCGTGTGTGTGTGTGTGTGTGTGTGTGTGTGTGTGTGTGTGTGTGTGTGTGTGTGTGTGCGTGTGTGTGTGTGTGTGTGTGTGTGTGTGTGTTCGTTTCTCGACTGTTTGTGTTGCGTGTATCGTGCTGCTATGTCATGAAACTTGCGACATTACGGCCATCGTCCTGTGCAATCACACACATGTAGACATGCGCAAGCACAGACCCGGAACATAAGAAACATGCAGGCAGTGGTGAGCATGGGGGAAACAAGCCGCGTCTGCATCGGATGTTACATT